GGGTTTTCGAGCATTTTGCACCGTGCTTTTTACTTCACGCACAGTGCGGTTGAAGTCATAAAAAATGTCAAATGCACAGTGCAGAATGGGTTTTTTTGCACTGTGCGCTGCGACAACAAGTCTACGCACTTTTGAAAAAGCGTGGTAATACATCATTATGTTAACTCACAGCTAATAATCAAGGTTCCTTTTTTCCTTTATAAGGAACTACCAACTTTATTGCCTTCTTTAAGAATTGATAGTCTTTTGGTACTCAAAAGTACGCAAATTATATTGTGAAATATTCTACATTGTATATTATCATATTATTGTTCTGTCGAGAAAATAATGAGCACTCTGTCGCATCGAAAATCGCATCAAGAAAACGAATTGTGTCGCAAAAAAAACAAATTTCTTTTTACTTCAGCGACACAATTGGCCCAGCGACATTGTGCTCATTATTTTCCCGACAGACTGATAAGCTTGGCCTTGTATTTTGAAAATTCTTTGAACCCTTGTTTTTTGTTTTTACAGCGCTCATAATCTTGTTTTGTAGTGTTGACCAAGCTACATTTGTTCGTCGCGGAAAGCAAAGTTTGGTGTCACAAATTGTACAAAAATAAGTAATATAATACTCGTGTCGTATCACAAGGGAAGTTACAAATTAAACGCGCTAAACTCATAAGCAGGTCCTATACATTTGTATGTATAGCGTACAAAAAATGCGTGCAGAATCCGCTGTCATATGAAAAATGCTATATAAAAAACACCACTGTGTTTTATGGGGAAGTGCTCTAAGTACGATGCTCAGATTTTGATGAAACTTGGCGGCAATTTAGATTGGTTCTTTCCGAGATATATGTGAGACTCCTAGCTCGCGCTTTGCAGAAAGAACCAATATTTTTGAGTCGAAAGTTGGCAAAAATGGGACATATTTTTTCCGAATTTTGGCGTAAAAATTATTATGCTTATTTCTACCATAGAGGGTGATGTTTCCACAAAAAATCAATTTTTTCCGGTCGAATCTGGCAAAGATATGGCCAAAAAGTGGTTTTCTCTTTCTGACCGTTCTCTGCGTTTCGTGTACTCTCTCGGCTGCAAGAACCGCTCAATTATCTTGATTGCTTCTGAAATGCGCGAACCTTAAATTTCAAGCACTGACGTTTTTATTTGTCTCGAATTTTTACTGTAGTCTAATGAACGGATATAACATATTTGGTATTAAACAAAATGGGGTTGCCTATGGATTCAGGGAAAAAAAGAATTTTAACATTTGCCCAAAAACTAAAAAAGTTATGGCAAATTAAAGTCCGGCCGAAAAATTGCCGCACCCTGTATATGTATTACCTAAATGGTCGTATGTTATCTCCGACTGTGTGTAAAATTAAAATAAAAAATCCAACACTTGCGGTGCTTTCCTTGTTATGTAGAAGAAGGAAGGAGTCGTTTTTTTCCACGCCACTCGACTTTCATAAATTCTAAATAACAGTTGTAATAGATGGACCGAGTGGACGAGAGGGTGTGCACGTCAAGTTGATATTTTATATTTTACGGCTTGTCAAGACACCATAGTTCATCTTCAGGTCAAAACAAGGCGTTGATGACAATTTCAGAAGGGAGCTGACAATGAGATATTCAAGGTCCTTTTTTCGAGAGAGTAGGGAAAATTAGGAGAGTCTTTTGAGCAAAAAAGTTTTTTTGGCGATATCTTTGCGAATTTCGGTCGGAAAATGATGATTTTTGGTAGAAATGTTCTACTGTCCATCTGAAACAGATAATGATTTTTTTCGGGGAAAAAATCGAAAAATTTTTTGAATTTTTTGATTTAAAAATGCCGATTTTTTTCTGCGAAATGCGAGCTAAAGATTCGCAAAAGCCTCAAAAAAATTTTTTTGGTCTAAATTTGTGGCCAAGATTGGTCACAAAATTGCAAATTTTTGTTACATTTATTTCCTACCGCCAAAAATTTACTTATTAAAAACCATCTCCCAGAATACCCAAAATTAATTTCCTTTAATATTCACTTCCCAAAACCGCCCTTAAAATCCTAATAATTCATAACAATTCCACCTACAGACCCGGTTACACTTATTTACACTTATTTCCAGCCATTTTACTCCATTTCGCGAACTGCCCGCCCATTTTCCCCGAGATTTTCTGTTTCTTTGTTTTTTCCCTGTCCCTCATTTTTTGTGTGTGCCATTGTGCACACTTGAAGACCCCAATATTCCTGTATATTGGAATCCTCGAGTGGCTTCTTCGGTTTTTATTTTATTGGGTTCACTGGTGTCGGAAATTCTGGCGGAGGGAATTTGAATTAAATTGGGGCTATTGAAGATGCCGTGTCAATATAGCAAATGAAAAATTGGACTTTTTAGAAAGTTTTTTTATCCCACCAACTATTTGTTACTCTTATGATCTTCGAAAATATTTATTTTATGCTCTGCACAGTGAAGGAAAAAAATTATGATCTGCACTGTGCGAAATTCAAAGAATCTGATTTTGAATTCTGCACAGTGCGATTTCAATTTTTTTTCGTTGATTTCGCCACCTAATGAACCTGTTTTTACACAGTCATATAAATTTTCATGACATTATAACTGCACAGTGCAGAAAAAAAAATTTTATGATCTGCACTGTGCGAAATTCAAAGAACCTCATTTTGACTTCTACACAGTGCAATTTCAAAAAATTTTTTTGTTGAATACGCAGTATAATGACTATCTTTTTATACAGTAATATAAATTTTGATAACATTCCATCTGTACCGCGCAATATTTTGATTTCTTTTCAATGCACTGTGCGGAACCCAAAAGATATTTTTTCTGCTTCGGCATCGTGCAAATTCAAATTTTTTAAACTGTATATGTAGTGTAGATAATGTATTTTTAATGGCATCACAAATTTTGTTTTTCTTTTCCGCCGCACCGTGCAATATTTCAATTATTTGTCGATGCACAGTGCAAAATTTTAAAACTCTCATTTTTCATTACGCACAGTGCGGAATGCAAAAAGAAATTTACAGCATGGTGTAAAATTCACCCCGGTATCACTTGTCTTCAAATTTCATTTCAACTCCGTCTGCAGCATGCGATATTTCAACTTCATTCCACTGCACAGTGCAGTCGGCTCTCTTTCCCTCGCACTGTGCGTTAATTAAATATTAGGCCAAAAAATTGTTCTCCTTTCTCAGACGATGTCCTTGTTCGAACAAAAAAAATATTTTGAATTTTAATCTCATCGTACCCTGCGATTTTCCCACAAAAATTTTCAAAAATTCGTGCACAGTGCGCATCTTTTTAACCTTTCGAAAATCAGGCATAAGATGATTTTTAAATTTAAAAAAATGCCAAATCTGCTCCTCATGGTCTCATTTATTTCTTTTGTTGTCCCTAATCTTTTTTACAAGGTGAACTGTTTATTGGGGATTTTTTTTTTAATTCCATAATTTTGTGTAATCTTCATTTTGTCTGAGTTCGTATGCACTTTGTGGGTAACGGGTAATTACAAGCCTAAGTGTGACGTTAAAAGGACTTTCAAAGAACATCCAGCCAAAGTTTGTAAGGATTTCTTACACGGCAAGTGCATATTTGGCGTGAAGCAAACGAAATTGGGTAAACGTGAATTCAAATTCAGAGGACAATTTTATATGTAAACCATGGGATTTCATGGTTTACAGAAACCTCCGGAATATTAAGTAGTATTTTCATAAAGTGCATGGACGTTTTTTCTCATTCGCACAGTGCATTTTGAACCTTTTATCATGCTTGTCGCCAAACTATTTTTCCGACAAACTGAGCTCCAAGTGGGACGCTCAGATTTTCTTGAAATTTTGGTTGCATTTCGAGCATAGGCCACATATCAATTCCTGAAAATTATAGCTTGCACTCTCAAGGGAGGGCCGAGATATTCAACAATCTTTGCGGCCGAGAGAGTATGCGAAATGCGGAGAGCGGTCGGAGAAAAAAACTTTTTTGGCTATATCTTTGCCAGTTTCGTGCGGAAAATTTTGATTTTTTGTGGAAACATTACTACCTACAGTAGAAATAAGCATGAAACTTTTCATAACAAATTTCTCAAAAAAAAGTCGAATTTTTGCCAATTTTTGCCCTAAAAATCTCGGTTGTTTCTGTAAAGCAGCCTCGCTTATATCTTAGCAAAAATGAATCTAATCTTTTGTGAAAATTTTATCAAAGTCTGAACGTCGCACTTGAGCCACTTCCCCGCTCAATTGTAACCATAGGTATCAATTTGGATGGGGAACGGATTTGCATAATTTCCTTCTGTTTTTGGAGGGAATTATCGGCGTTTTCATGGATTAACGTCACCGAGTTTTGATTCTGAGTTTTCTGGTCGTCTGTTTTCAATCCGAAAGTCGATGGGTTTTCAGGGGTTTTGCGATTTCTCAGCGCTGGGGTTTTTGCCCAAAAAGCTCCGCGTTTTTTGATGAAAACTACAACAATTTTGGCTCTCAGATTTTACTGGTATGCAGTAGAAGTTTAAAATACAATTTTAGAAGATATATAGGACATTTTTAGCTAGCAGTTTACGGAAAAAAATTGAGATTTTCAGATCGAAAATTGAAAAAAAAAATAATTTTTTTTCTATTTTTGGCCTCAAAAATTTAACACTTCATTTCTGCTCAGTAACAAATCATTCCCCAAAAAATGAGCGTTTTCCAAGCGAAATCCGCTTAGATATGATCGAAAAACACTTTTTGTCTGACCGCTCTCCGCATTTTGTGTACTCTCTCGGCCACAAAGATCGTTGAATATCTCGGCTGCCCTTCCAAACCGTGAGCTAAAATTTTCAGGGATTGTCGTATGGACTATCTAGGCTATATATACGTAATATTTGAAAAAAATCGACCCATCGAACTTTGAGATTTTTCCATTTTTTGTGTTCAAATTTTTCATCGATTTTTAAAATTATTTCCACCTTGTATTGATGCGCGTATTTTACATAATCTTACACCTACTATAAACATTTTTTCAGGCAAATTTCCGCTCCTTTTCACAACCATGGAGCTCAGCTACACACCGATTTTCCACTTGTCCATGGTCATGTTCTTCTCCATTGTGGGGAACATGTTTTTTCTTTTCGTTTTATGGCGTGGCAAGGTGGTGCAGCGGAGGCGGTTGTCACCTGTCCAGGTAAGGTGCTGTTTTTGATATTAATAGAAATTGAATTTAAAATTCGAAAAAGAGACTTTTAATTAAAATAAGAAACAAAAACAAAATGTAATTTCAACTTGGGATCTCGAGTAATTCTCAATTAAAATGTGATGGAATCTCTGTACTTTTTCAAAAAGATCGTATGAAAAATAGCGAAATGCACTGTCTCCTGCGACCAAAAGTCTACGCACTTTTGAAAAAAAGTATTACAACGAACTCACGTACAACGAAACATGTTTATAACAACTGCAAGGTTGGTAAATTTTTTGGCCAAGATGGATTCAAAAGGCCTTTCACCATAACCTTTCTATGAGAAATATTTTTTTTGGTCCATCACGTTTAGTTGTACATAAGTTTTACTAAATCTTTTATACATCCACAAAAATTTAGTCAAAAAAATTTAGTCATCCAAAAAAAATATTAACTCATAACTTGACTGTTTTTTTTCAGCGTCTTCTCATCCACACATGCGCTGCCGATTTATGGTTCGCGTTGATCTCACTGGGCACGGAAATCTACATTCTTCTACAGTACCCCAGTTTCCCTGGGCCTCCAATCATCTGTAAATTTGTCCGGTACATCCAAGCCGTACCTCTCTACGCCTCACCTTTTTTGTTGGTGGCTATCAGTGCGGATCGGTATCAGGTGAGGGAAAAAAAATTTTTTTTGATTGGCAATACGACTTTTCTAATCTTAATTACTTCTAACATTAGTTTTCTTGACCCTGACCCATTGTAACATAGAGAAGTCCAGAACTTGCTCCAAAAACAAAGATCTCTCAGTTTGATCAGGATATTATTGAAGCAATACATGCAAAATACCTCAAAATATGTGGTAAACTATCCTAAGTCGCACTCAATCGGACTATTTTTATTAATGAAGCCTTCTCCTAACTGTTATCATGCATATAACCACAAATCGACCCAAAATATCGTTGACCCGAACCGTTGTTGACTCTAAACGTTAAATCATAATTTTAGTTACCCACTTTATCCTTTATTTCCCCCATTTTCAGGCCATTTGCAAGCCACTTGCCAACTACCGTCGGAACAAAAGCCCCAAATTCTACGGGACAATTTCCTGGGCCTTGGCCATCGCTTTCGCCATGCCTCAGTACATAATTTGGAAAGGGTAAGTTGAAAAAGCATTTCCGGCTTCCAAATCCCTGTAATTTTTGCCGCTTTTATAGCGCCATTTCCGGCTCGTGACATAATATTTTTATGTCACTTTACGTGGAAATCCGAGGGCATTTTCGGTGGCCCGAAAACAAAGAACCGACCTTTTGCGGATGTTTTCTTTGCCAAGGAAGAATTTTAATTACAGCAGAATTGTATTTGTGAAAGATATGAGAATTATGGGCGAAAAATTTAAAAAACGAAAAAAATTAAAATTTTGATTTTTTAAAAATTTCAAAAAATTAAAAATTAAATTTCTCAAAAATTTTATCGTTGGATTTTCATTAAATTTTGTACACTTACTGTAAATAGCTCTCGTCTCGTCTACTGAGAATTTTAGTTCGCACTTTGAAAGGAAAGCCGAGATATTCAACGGCCTTTGGCAACCCAGAGACTATGGAAAATAAGGAGAAACGGGGAAAACAGACATTTTCGGACTATTTGTTTTTTAATTTCGCATTAAAAAACATTATTTACTATATCGAGAAAAAGGGCTCTATGAAAAGAATGCGACGATTTTTTTAATTTTGAAAATTTTAAAAAAAATTTTAATTTTGAAAGTTTTTCGCCTTCAAAATTCTCGGCAAAGCGCGAGCTAAAAATTTTGCGTATGCCTTAAAGGTTTTAAACAAAATCTTGGGCAAGTTTTACCTAAATTCCAAACATTTTTTTTGATTAGAATTTCAAAATTTCAAATTTTTTCGGCGCAGATAAAAAATTCCAAAAAAAATTTTTACAAGTTTCATCAAAATCAGCAAAAATTTTTTTCACCCTCAAATTTAGTCATCATTATCCATTTTTCAGCGGGAACAACCGCTGCAGCACCATCTACGGAGTGGAGTCCTCGCTTCGGACCGGCTACGTGATCTACTTCACCTTCCTCGCATGGCTGATTCCCACTTTTATGAGCGCCTACTACTACATTCAGATTGGTTTTGCGGTCTGCAAGTCCAAAAAATTAATTGAATGTGCGGACCGGACCACAAATTATCAGCACTCGGAATCGATGTCGCAAATGAGTAATGGGACAAAAGAATATGTGGAGAGGCTTCGCAAACGCTCGGAAGGATTCAAAACGCAGCGGTCGGAGTTCGATCGAAAACGAAATCGCACCGTTTTGCTGACATTGATCATTGTGGTGCTCAATTTGATGCTGTGGGCGCCGTTTGTGTGCGCGAATTTTGCTCAAATATGGTTCCCGGAGTGGCTGAGTAAGTTTTTTTAATATTTAACATAAATTTTAAAAAAAAGTTTTTTGAAATTAAAAAAATTTAGAAAAAAAAATTTTTTTTTAATTTTACAAATTTTTAAAAAAATCTGCGTAATCACTCTAGCTGACTGACAAATCAATAGTGAAAAAAAAATTTAGCCCACAAATTTATCCCATAGCCGAGAAATTCAACGATCTTTTTGCGAGAGAGCACGCAAAATTAGGAGAGTCGGACAGACAATACCAGTTTTTCGCCTGTATCTTTGCGAATTTCGCTTTGAAAAACTTGATTTTTTGTAGGAATATTTTACTTTGTCAGTAGCGATTTTCAAAAGCAAAAATTTCAAAAAAGCGCAAAAAAATTTTTTCATTTTTGAAAAAAATCTCAGAAATTACAGTTAAGTTAATTTTGAGGCCAAAAATCTGGGATATGGCATAAAAAAATTGTGGTTTTAATTTGCACCAAGTTTGGAGAAAATTGAAGGTGAAATTTTTTCTACTCAAAAAACGGGATGTTTTGAAAAAAACTGCAAAAGTTTTGCAACTTACATTGTTAAATTGTTTCTACTGTAGAATGCAATATCTTTACAGGAAATCAACTTTTTCCGCGCAAAACTGGCAAAGATATAGCCAAAAATTGTGTTTTTTTTCTCTGCCCGCTCTCAACTTTCACGTGTTCTCTTAGAGCGAGCTAAAAAATTGAGAAATTGAGACTAGATAGCTTCTGATTGAAATTTAATCTCTAAATTAACATTATCTCTCTTCAGGTCCCTTCACCATCACGCTGATGGCGCTGTTCGGCAACCTGAACTCGTGCGTCAACCCCTACATCTACATAATCTTCAACTGGAAGACGGTGAAGCAGGTTTTTTGCGCGTGCGGAAAGGAGAACGGCCGGCCCTCCTCCTACCGCAGCAACACCTCCACCCTGAATGGGCTGGAGAACGGCGTGAATAACAACGGGTACCTGAAGCACGTCAGTTTCGAGGCCTCGTCGCCGGACAAGCTCAAGACCGATCGGACCTGGCTCTCGCAATGCTCGTTGCTCCCCAAAAACTGAACGTTGTCGCAATCTGGAGATGCCGATTGCCGGGGTTTTGATAGCATTTGTCGGCAGGCACGAGAAATTTTTGGTGTCGTCGACCGGTCGACTCTTCAGACCATCCAATTCTCAGGGACATTAGGTCAACTTAAGAGGATTACTGTAAAGTTTTCAGTAGGAAATTTGAGATTTTGTTAACATAGATGTTGAGGTGGATGATTCAAAAAATTTTTGGCAAAATTTCTCTCAAATTGCCTCAGGCTAAAATACGGAAAAATCAAAAATTCGAAAAATTTTCGACTTTTTTCTCATTTTTCAAAAACTTCAAATTTTCGAAAGCCACAAATGGATATAGCTTTACCAAATCCACCTCTATTAGACCTCCCTCACTCTAAAATACGGTGCAATAGAGATCACGCAGATATACCGACGTCTTCCTCGTCAAACTCGCACTTGTTTTCGGTCATACGGGCTTCCCAAAATACTTCTATATTCTTCGATTGTTGTTCTCTATCTCACTGCTACACAGTCCAAACAACATTTGCCATAATTCTCTTGTTATGTACATATGTAAATTTCTACTTTAACTTATGAAATAAAGTGAGAAACAGCTGGAAATTTTGTTTATTTGATGGTGAAAGTGGATAAAAGGCAATAACACTCTGATCATTCGGTTTTTTGGAGCCGGGGATACTCCGTAACGTAGTTGAGATCACGATAGACCACGAAGAAGATGAGGAAATTCACGGAGATCAGAAAAGTTGTGAGCAAAATCTTCGTTAACCTGATCACGCCCCATCGATGAAGGCGCCATAGGTGGGCCTCGGGTGTGAGTGTTCCCAGATCCGTGACCATGGCCTTTGCTGTGTCGGCGGTGTACATGCAGAGCAGAATTGTCGTCATGAGGAGGTTTGCACTCTGAAAGAAAAATTTTTGCACAAAAAGTTTTAAAAAATTGTGCACAGTGCGGAAAAATTCAACAAGAAAATTATTTTTTTACACAGTGCGGAAAAGTCATCAAAATTTCTTTGACTCCGCCCCTTTTCAAAAAAAACCCCCAAACAAAAATTTGCACTGTGCAAAACTCGAAAGCAAAAAAAAATCGCGACATCTTGTCGTTGATTTTGGCATTTGTCGCTGCGATAAAGACGTCGCAAGGAGTTTGCGACAAACGAGAAAGGAGAAGAGAAGAGAGATCACGGGAATTTGGGAGACTTTTCTCTGACGTTTTTCGATTTGTTGCGATAAATTTATCGCTCGTTTTGCACAGTGCGGAAAAGTCATCAAAATTTCTTTGGCCCCGCCCCCTTTCGAAAAAAATCAAACAAATTTTTGCACTGTGCGCATCAAAACTGTGCAAACCTCCCCTTTGATCAGATTGCGAACTTCTTTTTCGCACTTTCCTCAACCCGCCCCAAGAATTGTCGCAGACTTGCTGAATGTCGCAAAAATGCAGGAATGTTTCGCGACATTCCAGCAAGTCTGCGACAAAGCAAAAAAAATCGCGACATCTTGTCGCTGACGTTAAAAAAATTTCGCACTGTGCAAAAATTCTCCTTCGATCAGCGTGTCTCCTCGTTCGTTGTCGCAAAAACTTTCGCAGACTTCCAGTGATGTCTGCGACAAAGCAAAAAATCGCCACATCTTGTCGCTGACTTTGACGTTTGTCGCTGCGACAAAGGCATCTCAAGGGGTTTGCGACAAAAGTGAAAGGAGAGGAGAAGAGAAATTGCGGGAATTTGGGAGAGTTTTCTCTGACGTTTGTTGATTTGGTGCGACAAATTTATCGCCGGTTTTGCACAGTGCATTCTTCTCGGGGGGAAATTGGGAAATGAAGTTGCACTGTGCATTTTCCGAAAAATAACTTTTGCACTGTGCAGCCAAAAATGTGGGATTTGAACAAAATTTTGGCCAAAAAATGAATAAGGGTTACTGTAAGCATACTCAAAATCTCACCATAATCAAAAAATAAGTGATGTACAACCATCGATTTCGAATCCGATTCCCAATGTACAAAATTATGTTCGCAAGGAAAGTCAGCATCAACGGCGGGACAATCGTAATGATCCCATTGTCCTCATCGTTCATAAAAATGACTTGGGTGAAGATTAAAAGAACAGCCGTTATAGCAAACAAAGCGGCCATGAACATAACCACCCGCTGAAATACAAAAAATGGAGAAAAATATGAAAAAATATAAAATACGAAATAAAAAAAAATAAATAAAAATCGCGTACATGAAGATTAAAACGCCAGCAACATTGAAATTCCGGGTCATCCTGCAACTTGAAGAGATATCTCGCATCCCCACCTACTAGAGGCTCCTGAAAATTGAAAAAAATTGATTCCAATGTCAAGTGTAATATAAAAAAATGTGAAAGTTTGGGTTTCAACTTACACTAACTTGAGTTTTATCCGTTCTAAGCGTATTTTCACTCCAAGACGGACGACTTGTCTCCGTCCGGACTATGTCCCTGCTCGAAGCCATTTTTCACATCGGAGATGTGAGTGCGGCCACTCACAACGGTAGGAAAGTTCGAAATGAGCAAAAATTCATTTCAAAATTTTCGATCATTTCGAAAACCCCATTCAAATTGATCAGTAAAAATCCAAATTCATTTTCTTCGATGCAAGCGTCGAAATTGAAAGTCCAAAGAGACCCCCGCGGGTAATTGATGGCGTAGATTCCAAAAATCGTATTCGTTTTTTGTCTGATTTTGACATTTTTTCTTAACTAGTAGTGCTAAAAAGTAATTTTTCGATATTTTTCTAAAAATACTCGATTTAGGGGTTATCGAGGGTGCTGATTTCGAAAATCGTATTCGTGTTTTCTGATTTTGACTTTTTTCTTAACTAGTAGTGCTAAAAAGTAATTTTTCGATATTTTTCTAAAAATACTCGATTTAGGGGTTATCGAGGGCGCTGATTTCGAAAATGGTGATCGTTTTTTCTGATTTTAACCTTTTTTCTTAACTAGCAGTAGTGCTAAAAAGTAATTTTTCGATATTTTTCTAAAAATCGATTTAGGGGTTATCGATGGCGTAGATTCCAAAAATCGTATTTGTTTTTTTTCTGATTTTGACTTTTTTCTTAACTAATAGTGTTAAAAAGTAATTTTTCGAATTTTTTCTAGAAATACTCGATTTAGGGGTTATCGAGGGTCCTGATTTCGAGGATGACATTCATTTTTTTTTTGATAGTCACTTTTTTCCTTAAGTCGTACTGTCAAATAGTAATTTTTTGCATTTTCTTCATGAACATTCGATTTGGTGTTTTTGCTGCTTTTAAATCCAAAAAAATGAATAAAATTTTCGAAATCAGCACCATCGAAAGCCCCTAAATCGAGCACTCGTGAAAAAATTTCAAAAAATTACTACTTTACAGTACTACCAAAAAAAGTAACTATCAAAAAAAAATGAATGTCATTTTCGAAATCAGCACCCTCGATTATCCTAATTTCGACACTTGCATCGAAGAAAAATAATACTTTTCGGTTTCCCCAATCGTCCAACTCCGTTATTTTTCCATGGAAAAAAGCGAAAAATCAAAAAAAAATATGTATTATTAGAATTGTCATGATATGGGACAATATAACCTGTAATTTTCGAAAATATAGAAACATTAGAATGGTAAAAATGTTGGAATACATCTGAAAAATAAACTTGAGCGACAGAAAATCCAGTTTGAATATGGAAATGCGAAGAAAAAAAAATCGATTTTGGGATCACGGTAACCTTGGGTTGGCCATCCGCAGATAATTACGGCCTGAGGGCACGGGCAAAGCTCGGATCTCGCCGAAACGTCGATGAGCCTCTTCGTTATCCAGATTCGGCACCACCATGCAAGAATCGCCGGGATGCCAGTCGGCCGGAGTTGCGACGGGCTGACTGGCCGTGAGCTGAAGAGAGTCGACAACTCGGATAATTTCACTGAAAAATTCAGGCTATTTTGCTCTAAAAATCAACAAAAAAGAGAAAGAAAGCCTTCAGCTTCAACATACTCAAAATTGCGGCCAGTCGTAGCGGGATACAAGATGGACAACTTCAGTCGCTTGTCAGGTCCAATGATGAAGACTGCTCGAGCTGCCAGAGGCATTCCAGATCTGTTTACTTCGTCCGGATCTTCCATTCCAAGGAGCTCAATCAATTTGCGGTCGGAGTCGTCGATAATTGGGTAAGGAAAGGCATCTAAAGTTCAAGAATTTTTATTATCTTATCCATGATGCCTAAATTCAAAATTTCCTCAACAAACATCGTTGTTTGCGACAATACAGCATTTCCACCTAAAATTCGAAGCACAAAGAAATTTTACTCACTTTCATCCAACTTTTTGACAATTTCTCCATCCGCAGCAACATTTCCAAATGAGACAATGTCCTTGATCCAATGTTGATGCGATTCAGCCGAGTCCACGCTAACCGCAATCAATTTCACATTCCTCAACGCGAATTCAGGTGCCAACTGAGCTACTCGAGCCAGCTCGGTAGTGCAAACTGGTGTGAAATCGGCAGGATGAGAGAAAAGAATTGCCCAACTGAAATTGGAGGTCTAGTATAATATAGGTCGTAATTTCAATGGGATTTCCTCTCTAAATCAAAGAAAATAACGCTCAATAGCTTACCTGTTGCCAATCCACTCATGGAAACTGGGAATGGGTCCGCTGCAAGTTTGACAACTAAATTCCGGAAAGGTTTTCCCCAGCCGGACAGACATGGTCTGATGGTGAAGGTTCCGATCGGCGTAAACTTTGTTTCCTGCGTCCAAGCGCGTCCAAAATGTCTTTGTGCGGCTTTATTTTCTCTATCTGTCGAAGGAATTTTCACAAACAACACGTAAAATATATTTTTTGTTGTTAATACAGAATGCCAAGATGTTTGGCATTCATTGTTTTCGTGGTGGGACGCTAAATTCCCTCAGAAATTAGGGAAATTCGTGGTTTCGACGTAAAATTTTTACACTATTGAATATTTACGATAAAATAGTTTGACTTTTTTGTAATTTGATCGCAGATTTTAACTTTTTTAAATTCTGATATAGTACAATATAATTTATGCCCGTGAACATCGACCTGTACGGTTTGCAAATCGCAAAGTCAAATATCTAACAAATCGAAATGCGGAGACAAAAAATTGGACCAGAGTCATGACCGAGAACCCCAGAAATAATCCCGATTGTCCGCCGATTTGAGAGACAAAGCCGGGGAGCGTTGTTGTCCTCACTTCTTCGTAGATTTCGTACTATAAAACGCGCATCTACAGCGATCCAACAAAATATATACCTCCAAATTAGTGAATCCGCTCTCAAATCGAAAGATGGTTTCGTTGGTTGGCTTGAAGCGCTGAGTTATATCGCTTCGATAAATCTTGAACTCATGATACCAGCGATGGCAATGTGGCAGACACTGAGATAATATTTTTTCCCAAAAAAGTAGAAAAAACACCTACTCGTTCCCCAACGAACCCTATAGCGCCATTGACCACCACATTGTAATTGTAGACAATTCGCAATGGCTCACACACGTCGTAGCCTTGAACGCGATGATGGAGATAAAATAAAGAGCAGTTTAGAGGGCCAAGAACTCGGTATTCGTGGTATTTCTTGACATAACAGGTGGCTCGGCCCTTGTCCTCGTCCAGCATGGAGCATTCGGATTCCCATGGAGACATGCGCAGGAGTCGGGCGACAAATCGAACGAAAACCGATTCATTTTCGTTGACGTAGAATCTAAATTGTTTGTAAGACAGCAGAAATCAGCTATAAGCCATAAATGGAGTGTAAAACAAACCTGGGAAAAGTCGAGGTGTCTGTATGGTTGTCTGTGAGAAAGACGATTGCCTGCGGCTAAGATAAAGTAATATTAGGGTGTCGGGAAAGTAATGAGTATATCGTTTTTTGCTTATTCCTACATTTCTCAGCGACTTTTGCAAAAGTTGAAAGAAAACTTTCAGTGACTCTTGTACAGTTCAAGTTCGATGAGCAAACTTCAAAACCCCTCTATAACGAACAATTGCGGACGTCGCAAGAGTCACTTTTAGGCCTAAATAGACCTCCGATGTCAGTTTTTCGGAAAAATAATGAGCACTGTGTCACATCGAAAATCGCATCGCCGCCGAGAAAATGAATTGTGTCGCGGCAAAATCAAATTGCTTTTCACTTCAGTGGCGCGATCGGCGCAGCGACATTGTTCGCATTATTTTCCCAACAGACTGATAAATAACTAACGGGGAAGGTATATATCTCAAAGTGCGATGCTCAGATTTTGATAACAATTGGCACAAATTTAGATTAATTTTTTTTAAATTCATGCCTTCTAGTCCGCTCCTTGCAGAAACGACGGAGATTTTTATACCAAACGTTATCAAAAATGTGACACTTTTTTTCAAATTTTGGCATGAAAAGGTTTAACACGTCTTTCTACAGTAGAGGGCAATGCTTCCACAAAAAATAATTTTTTTCCGCATAAAACTAGCGAAAACATGGCCAAAAAGCCTGTTTTCCCGTTGCTCTCCGCGTTCCGCGTACTCTCACGGCCGCAAAGATCGTTGAATATCTCGGCTCTCCCTGCAAAGCGCGAGCTAAACTTCTCAATAATTGGTAATGCCGCATATATCAATTCTATGAAAAATTAATAGAAATCTGAGCATCTCACTTGATGTACTTCCTTTATAAAATATTATTATACATATATAAAACTCGAGGGCTTACTTGTTTCTTCGAACTCTCCACGATTGGACTAGGCAGTTGTTTTATCAACAAAGCAATTCGGCCATGAACATCCGGCGCCGTTTGAAACTGTGCTATCATTCGGTAGCACTTCCCGCGCAACATGACAAACCTTGGTTGAAATTTGTCGCAACAATCAAACTTGTCGTAGCCAATGTAGCATGAATGGAAAAGCTGAAATGTCCCAAGCATATAAGCATATCAGTCTGTCGGAAAAATAATGAGCACAATGTCAGTGTGCCAATCGCGTCGCTGTAAAAAAACAATTTGATTTTGTCGCGATACAATTGGTTTTCTCCGCGGCGATGCGATTTTTGATGCGACATAGTTCGCTTTATTTTCCGACAAACTGATATCCGTCTGTCGGGAAAATAATGTGGATTTGTCGCGCCTTGGAATCCGCCATCATCGCTTTGCGACGGCTAGCCACGGCTGCGAAGAGATGAGATATTTTGCTGCGAGAAAGCCACATTATTTTCCCGACAGACTGATATGGAAGATCCACTTTTATGGTAGTTATAAGTGAGATAATATAAAATCAGTCTGTCGGCAAAATAATGAGCAAAATGTCGCTGCGCCAAACGTGTCTCTGAACTGAAAAGCAATTTGATTTTGCCGCAACACAATTCATTTTCTCGGCGGCGATACGATTTTCCATGCGACAGAATGCTCATTATTTTCCCACATATTGATATGCTACAGACAGATATACACATACGTCTTTACACTTGTACCCATGTCTGAAGAACAGATCGTTATAGAACTGCAAATAGTCTCGGCTCCCCTTCCATCGGAGAAAAAGGGAATGCAGTCGCTGAATTTGCAGTGGCTGCCATTTACTCACAATCGAGTCCATATTAGCCATGCCCGAGCCGGCAATGGCATAGCTGATCAAATTCACGGCATCTTCGTCGGAAAGGAAGGGGATTCTCGCGCGGATCTCTCGCTTCACGGCGTCCAAAACGATGGCATCCGGGTTCTTCGGACACACCTACAGTATTTTTATATCAGTGTCTGTCGGGAAAATAATGAGCGCAATGTCGCTGTGCCGATCGCGTGGCTGAAGTGAAAAGCCATCCGACGTTGCGCTCATTCTTTTCCTGACAGACCAATAAAAGAGAAAAATGCACTGTGCGTTGGCGACAAGCATGAAAAAAGCTCAAAATGCACTTTGTGAAAGGGAAAAAATGTCCATGCACTTTATGAAAATACTACCATACACATGTATATCATCTCTTGACAACATTATTAACCTCAATTCCTAGCCAACAAACTCCCAAGACCCCCGCCTTACTGACCACAATCACCGGCAGTTCCAGCTGTTTGGCGCGCTTGAAAGTGATCAAAGTTGTGGTTTGTCGCGCCACGTATTCAGAGACCACTTTGTCCGTGAAGAAGAGCGCTATCAGAGCGCACGCCAACACCACGATGACCCATACAATCCGAGCTGTGAGTGACTGTGCCATGATGACTTGAGAGAGCCCGTGAAGCTCGTTCCGCCAGAGGTATCGTTCTGGACATCCTTTCGAGTGTTTTTCTATAATGTAAATGAGTATCAGTCTGTCGGGAAAATAATGTGGATTTGTCGGGGCAAAATGTCTCGCCTCGTCGCAGTCGCGCAACAACGTTTTTTTTTGCAGCCGCGGTTAGCCGTCGCAAAGCGACGATGGGCGATTCGTAAGGCGCGACGAATCCACATTATTTTCCCGGCAGACTGATAATATTTATTTTCATGAATTCCATAGACATCATATACATTTTGTCGTGTTCCGCACCGTGAACAGAAAACCCTCATTTTGCACCGTGCATTTCACGTTTTTTTGGTTTTTGCACTGAGCATCGAAATATCGTTGCGATATAAGCAAATTTCAACCATGTCGCTGCGTCACCGTGGCCAGTCCGCAGTCCAAAAGCTTTTTTTTGGAGGTTTGCACTGTGCGTTGGCAAGCGTGGTAAAAAGCTCAAAATGCACTGTGCGAAAGAGAAAGAATGTCCATGCACTTTATGAACATGCTAATATCAGTCTGTCGGGAAAATAATGAGCATTCTGCCGCATAAAAAATCGCATCGCCGCCGAGAAAATGAATTGTCTCGCGCCAAAATCGAATTGCTTTTCACTTCAGCGACGCGATTGGCGCAGCAACATTGTGTTTATTATTTTCCCGACAGACTGATAACATGTATTTATAACAAATTGTACATACTTTTCGACTGTTTTTTCACCGAAATAGGGCCTCAAAATCCTCAAACTTACTTCTAGCCGAACTCATGAACAACAGAGGAATGCTGGGCTCAGACAAACAACATTGCCAGCAAAATAAGGATATTACGTGTTCTTCCCCGAGCTTTTGATTAGGAAATAGGAAACTTGAGCCTGACGACAAATTCCGGGATCAAACACAACGTGCTGTGGCCACGTGGGCTTGGAGAAACCATCGAATTTGCCATTCATATTTGCGCAGGAGACACGTTTGTCGGGCCTGCCATAACAGCCTTGCAGAAAGTTTATGTCAGTCTGTCGGGAAAATAATGGGGATTGTCAAAAGGTCTTGCCTCGTCGTAGCTGCGGCTAAAAAAGCTAAGAATTTCCAGCTGCGGAATGTTGTTGCAAGGCGATGATGGGCGATTCCAAAGCGCGAATTCACATTATTTTCCCGACAGACTGATAAAAAGAAGTTTGATGAAAGGTTGGTTTATCGGACTTGTTTATTATTGAAAATGTTATAAGTTAGTGGCACTATTATACGGAACAAAAGTCATGAATGTTTGCATGGTACGCCGCACGGCAACCCGAAATAAATAGAACAAAAATGTCTCCCGCCCACTTTTGAATTTCGTCCAAACGAAGTGTCACAACTGACAAAAGCAATAAAATAATTTCGAGAAAGATATTTTTCCATCGAAAAACCACATGAAAAATTCTGTTGTGACATTTCGTGTGAATTTGACCGATACTGGGTGTGCGAAGTGCCAAAACGAGAAGGGAGACTCCTTGGGTTGCCGTTCGCCGTGGCGCAGAAAAATTATCGCACGGCGACAAATATCAGTCTGTCGGGGAAATAATGAGCACACTGGCGCATCAAAAATAGCGTCGCTGAAGTGGAAAGCAAGTTGATTTCACAGCGACACAAGTCATTTTCTCGGTGGCGATGCGATTTTCGAGGCGACAGAGTGCTCATTACTTTCCCGACAGACTGATATATCAGTCTGTCGGGAAAATAACGGCGGATCGTCGCGCCTCGGAATCGCCCATCATCGCTTTGCGACTGCGAGCCGCAGCTTGGGATTTGGTGCGCGATAGCGGCGAGGCGAGACATTTTGATGCGACGATCCGCCGTTATTTTTCCGACAGACTGATATCAGAAAATCGCCAAGATTCTACAATCTCATTCCCGTTTCTTCAGCACAGTGACTGCATACCGGGCCAACCTGAAAGCCAGCAGGAAAAACTGGACCAGCGTCATGACCGAAAATCCCAAAAACAGTCCGGATTGCCCTCCGATCTGGGAGACGAATCCAGGCAACGTCGTTGTTCGTATTTCCTCGTAAAGTTCGTACTGAAAATTGGTAATTTTTTGTCTTTGTTTTTTTGTTGTCAGTCTGTCGGGAAAATAATGTGGATTTGATATCAGTCTGTCGGGAAAATAATGTGGATTTCTCGCAGAAAAATTGCTCGCTTGTTCGCAGCCGAACACCAAATTTTCAGCCGCGGCTAACAAAGCCATGATGAGCGATTCCAAAGCGCGACTAATCCACATTATTTTCTCGACAGATTGATATTGTACAGAGAGCCGGCTCACCTTTAGATCAGCAAAGCCACTTTCAAACCTAAAGAATGTTGTGTTTTTTGGCTGGAAACGGAGACTTATTTCCGATCGAGTGATCTTGAACTCGTAGTACCAACGATTGCAATGAGGAAGACACTAAAATTACACATGGTTCCTCAACCTCTCACTCTTCTAGTTCCCATAAATTTTCTGTTTTCTCACCCTTTTGTCATCGATAAATCCCAAAGCCCCATTGACGACCACGTTGTAATTATAAACAATGTCCAACGGCGCACAAACTTCGTATCTCTCGGCTCGATGCTTCAAGTAAAAGAGTGAGCAATTCAAGGGGTTCAGTACGCGGTACTCATGGTATTTTTTGACATAACATGTAGCTCGGCCTTTGTCTTCGTCCAGCATGGAGCATTCGGATTCCCATGGAGACATTCGAAGGAAACGAGCGACGAATCGAACAAAAATCGATTCATTCATGTTGACGTAGAACCTAGAAAGCAAATAGAGGAATGGGTATTAATTTCAAGCCTATAATGGATGTAAAAATTGTCAAAACTGACCTCGGAAAAGTTGAGATATCCGTGTCATTGTCGGAGCAAAAGATCACTGCTTGAGGCTGAAAAAATCTACAGTCAATTTGAATACTAAATTGTTCGTAAAGTCGCTGGAGTGAGTTTCGCGACGTGCACTGTGCGAAAGCAAAATTTTACTTTGCACCGATTTCTTGCTTTTTGCATCGTGCAATAGACTTTTGTGAAAAAGTCGGACTGTAATCGTCAGTCTGTCGGGAAAATAATGTGGATTCTTCGAGTCTTTGAATTGCCCATAATTTTTCTGAGACGACTACCGCGGCTGGAGATTTGGCACGCAAATGAAATGACGCGAGCAATTTTGCGGCAAAAAATCCACATTATTCTCCCGACACTGAAAAAAGTTCGTAAAGTCGTTGGAGCGATCTTTGGCGTTTAAAATATGCAGAGAACGTCAGGGTGCGAGCGACAGCCCGAAAAAGACTATTGCACAGTGCAAAGTGAACATTTTTCGCACAATCTTTTCGCTTTGAAACAAAAAATTAGGATGCCAATTTTGGGTTTTTGGCATAATGCAACAAACTGTACTTGTCTTTCTACAAGGATCGACAATATTTTTTGCTGTTGGAAATGTTCCTGGCGGCGATAAAACAGCCTGAAAAATAGGCCAAAAAACACAAGGCCAAAATATTATTTTTATTGCGGTCTCCGAAATCAGTCCGGCAAATTTACAAATGGACTATCAGTTTGTCGGGAAAATAATCGGCACACTATCTCATCAAAAATCACGTCGCCGCCGGGAAAATGTATTGTGTCGCGAGCTTTTCTGTCGCCATCGATCGGTCCCGATTTTCGCTCAAAATGACAACTGGGCTGCGCGCCTCGGCGGATAACTATTACAGCAAGCCCAAAAATGAAAAAGAGTAAAAATTGGTTTCCAGGTAGAGCGAAAAAAGGCCTATACAATGATATGAATAGCCCCTATTGACTTTCTCCCCACAATGATTTACTTCGCCTACATTTAAAAATTTTTTGTTGCGAAAAAACCAAATTGCTTTTCAGTTCAGCGACTCGTTTGACTCACATTGCGCTCATTATTTTCCCGACAGACTGATATCTTCTTATGACTTTCTTTTATCCTACCTGCAATTTGGAGCTCTCTACAATCGGACTGGGCAGTTGTTTGATCTGCAATGCGACCCGTCCATGGTAATCGGGGTCGGTTTGGAAGTGCTGCTGCATCCTGAAGCACTTCCCTCGCAACATTACGTATTGCGGTCGAAATTTTTCGCAACAATCGAACTCATCATACCCAATGAAGCATGAATGGAACATCTAAAAACTTGAAGATTTGATGGCCGTATTTTACAAATTGAAAAGAAACAAAGTTTTTGAATATCAACCACATACATCCTCACATTTGTATCCGTTTTTGAAGAAGAGATCATTATAGAATTGGGTGTAATTTCTATCGCCTTTCCATCGAAGCAGAAGCGAATTCAGCCGCTGAATTTTCAACATAGTCCATTGGCTTACCACCGGCTCCATATTGGCCAATCCGGAGCCGGCAATTGCGAAGCTTATCAAGTCTATTGTATCCTTTTCCGTTGTGAAGATAAATCGACTTCGTATCTCTTTCTTTACCGCCTCCATGTTGATGGCATCCGGGTTTTTGGGACAGACCTGGAAGAGTTGATTAACAAAGAAAATAAAAGTAATTGCGACGCCCAGATTTTCTTTAAACTCTACACACATTTCAAGCATAGAACACATGTCAATTCCAGAAAATTTTAGCTAGCGCTTTGCAACGACAACCGAGATATTCAACAATTTTTGCGGCCGAGAGGGTACGCGAAACGCGGAGAGCGGTTAGAGAAAAGTTTTTGGGCCTATCTTTGCTCGTTTTGCGTAGAAAAAATGGTTTTTTGTGTAAGCATTACCCTCTACGGTAGAAATGAACACAAAAGTTTTTACATCAAAATTCGCAAAAAAGTCTCAAATTTTTGCCAATTTTCGACCTAAAAATCTGTGTCATTTCTGCGCAGGCTCGAATACGTCCTGAAAAAAAAATATTCGAAATTTGTGCCAAGTTCCGTCTAAATATATCGATCTGAATTCAGGCCCATGTTTCATCGAGATCCGAGCCTCCCACCTCATATAATTCCCCAAAAAAAGAGACTTGCCACAATTATCGGGAGTTGAAGCCGGTTCACTCGTTTGAATGTGATCAAAGTCGCTGTCTGTCGCGCTATATACTCACTGACAACCTTGTCCGTGAAGAACACTGCAATTAGAAGACAAAGCAGTACCAGAACCACCCATACAATCCTTGAAGTCAAAGTTTTGGCGACGATGACTTGAGAGAGTCCATGGAGTTCGTACCTCCAGAGATAGCGCTCCGGACAGTTTTTACTGTGCTTTTCTAAAGTAAAAGTGAGCGAGAAATGCCCATGCACTTAATGAAAATACTGATAGAAGAAAGATGACTTACTGGTCATTCTATTTTGAAAAAATTTGGACTGCTATAGTGCCAGTGGCATTTTGTTGATAAAAAACTTTGTATGGGTTTTTGGTCTTCCCGCGTTTCTTGGTTTCGGAGTTTTACCTACCAAGAAACTTGAGAGGCGTTGGGGGAATGCTGTTTATGTTGGAATGAATAATGCACAACGGTCCTGCTCATATATTTATGTAAATAATCCTGTAGGACATACATAGAGCAGAGGTGAAAAATAAACTTTATAGAATGAACTTTTATCGTATGGAAAAAATTTTAGAATAGAAAAAAATATGAACGTCTTACTTGGAAGCCTTCCATTGCATTTCTGCCTCATTTTTGTTGGTAAAGTTCATGATCTACACCTTTTTTCTTGGTAATTACCAGTCAAAAATACCTTACCCTATCCGAAATTTTATTATATCTCACAAGGAAAGTACTTCTATGGGGTATGGAGTTACAGGTCGAGACATATATCAAAAAAATGAGATATATATATCAAAAAAATCGCAAAAATTTTCTTATTTATAATACAGTATGTACAAATTAACTGCCAAATTTTGGCTTGTAAGCGCATGTAACTCCATACCCCATAGAAGTACTTTCTTTGTGAGACATCTGGTTACTGTCGGAATTCGTATCCGTATCAGAATCGGCAAAGTTTTTTTTTGACCTCCTTGTATACTTGTCTGTTCGGAAAGTCGCTCTAATCATGTTTGTCATTTTAACAATGCAAAAAGCATCCAATTGCAAAGCGCAAAGTGACGTGATATTTTAAATAAAGTTTTGATAAGTTGTGCTTCAAAAATGACCTCTCAAGTGGGCCTAAAAGATTGTTCTGTCTTTCTTTTCTTCCCCATTTTTTCACGGCAATGCAAATTACCATTTCGAATTGCTGAGCGTATTTTACAATTCCCATTTCCGTCTCTGCTTTGAAATTTGACCTCTTCGCTTCAGCACTCCGCCAAAAATTTTTTTACATTTTCGGCGATGAAACTACAATCGAATAAACTGTAGGCTTAGATGGTAAGATTCCATTCCTTGATCATATCTGTGTTTTCTCATTGGGCAACGTATTAGACTACAAGCTGGAAAACAGCAAACTTTTTGCAAAAACCTCCGATACAAATCGCCGATTTGCTCTGTATTTTTGATCATCCGCTTACTATAATATAAAGTATAAAAATGAGGAATTACTCCAAGTGCGACGCTTAGGTATTGATGAAATTTGGCATAAATTTAGAATAGTTTAAAAAAAAACAAAAAAAAAAAAAAAAAAAAAAATATTTGCGAGGGTTCTATCTCGCGCCTTGCAGAAACGACCGAGATTTTCAGGTCAGAAAGTTGGCAAAAATCCAACACTTTTTTCCAAATTTTGGCGTGAAGAGTTTCATGTCTATTTCCACCGTAGAAAGTGATGTTTCCACAAAAAATCAATTTTTTCCGGTCGAAACTGGCAAAGATACGGCCAAAAAGTGTTTTTCTCTCTGACCGCTCTCTCCGTTTTGCGTACTCTCTCCCTCGCAAAAGTTTTCTTGGAAATGAAAAATTTTGTACCTGTTTTTACCGTAGAGGATAATGTCGACATGACGGCATAAAATTGCCAAAGATATAGCCAAAAAAGATGTTTTTCTCCCTGACCGCTCTCCGCCTATCGTGTACTCCCTCGGACCTCAAAGATCGTTCAATATCTCGGTGGCGCTTGTGAAGCGCGAGCTAAAATTTTCAGGAATTGATACATGTCCTATACTTGACGTATGGAAAAATTTTGAAAAAAATCGACCGGTCGAACTTTGAGATTTTCGATTTTTTTTTGTCAAATAATACCTCCCTTTTCCAAATCAAGTTCAAGCATTGTGTATAAATAATGACTTTATTAATATTTTCGGAGGTCGGTAAACGGAGTAATTGATAGAATTTGTATACAATCTGAGCTAAGGGTTGACAAAAGATAAAAAAAAATGAAAAAAATGTATTCCAAATAATTCCTGAAGCCCGGATTAGCCGTAAATCCCCTTTTCAGTTGGGGATTTTCGTCTTCCCGCAGGTGGGCGGGTCAATGATGTTGAACACCGAGGCCAAATGATAGTTCTCGCGCATCAACTTGACCACATGCTCAATTTCCGGCAACATGAGCATCAGATTCGCGACTTTGATGGTGATATCGCAGTCGTAGACCCCGATGGACTTGTAGTAGGCGTGCAGATCGCGGATGATTTGTTCGCGGCTGCTGTGAACGATGGCGATCGCTTGCGGAGAGAGGTCTCGGACGGCTGAAAAGGTGGGGGAGATGAGATTTAGGGAGAAAACTTGAAAGGAAGTTCTCAAAAAAAAAAAAAAAAAAAAAAAAAATCTAATTTTTTTTTAAAAAAAATAAAACTTAGACGTTACAAAAAACTTGAACTCTCATCGTATTTAAAACTTACTGTCTTTCCACAACATAATTCCACTCAACGCGATCAGCTCCATTTCGTTGATGCCCAAGTTTCGCATACGGTTGATGACTATGTTCACAATGTAGCTCATGGCGTTTTCGAAGATTCTGAAAGAAAAATATTTATTTTTTATTTGAAAAAAAATTGTCATCATGCTTAAAATGAGCTCTAAAATAAGCCCTTCTAGAATGAAGTTGAAACAGGAGTGACAAAAGATTATTTTTGTCTCATTTTGAGCCCCCTTTGACAAGAAAACTACCCCAAGTGCGACACTCAGATTTTCCTTTAATTTTGCACACACGTCGGTCATGAACTAAATATCAATTCCTGAAAGTTTTAGCTCGCGCTTTGCAAGCGCCGCCGAAATATTGAACAACGTTTGCCGCCGAGAGAGTACGCTAAACGCGGAGAGCGGTCCGAGAGAAAAATAACTCTTGGCCATAACTTTGCTAGTTTCGCTAGAAAAATTTCCCGGGCCCACAATTGACCTAACTAGCCGCCGAGATATTGAACGATCTTTGCTGCCGAGAGCGTAGGCTAAACGCGGAGAGCGGTCAGAGAGAAGAACATTTTTTGGCCATAACTTTGGCGGTTTCGTGCGGCAAAATTTGATTTTTTGTAGAAACATTATCCTTTACGGTAGAAACCGGCATGAAACTTTTCGAGCCAAAATTCGGCAAAAATCGTCAAATTTTCGCCGACTTCTGATCTAAAAACCTCGGTTGTTTCTGCAAAGCGCGAGCTAGGATTCTCGGATATATTTTATCAAAAAAATATTCTAAATTTGTGACTAGCTAGTTTCATCAAAATCTAAGTGTCGCATTTGGGGTACTTGAAGCCCATAACTATTATATAAAAAATATAAAAAACAAAAAATTCTTACCCCGCCAATTGCGAGGGGTCCCCTCTAATGCTGCTGCTGTTCTCATAGAACGTGGTGAGCTCCTTCAGCCTCACATATCCCCCGTCCGGCATGATCAAACGGTCATCGCCCGCCGGGAACAATTTGTACGAGCGGAAGGAGCGCTCGGCATTCGTAAAGTTGCAGAAAAAGTTGTCGAAGAGGGCGTTTTGATCCTCCTTGGAGAGGGTGCCGAACGGCAGATAGAACTTCTCCACTGTGTCCATCAACAGGCTGGCTTCGATCTTGCAGTGCTTCTTGCTGGTGTCGTAGTTGCTCTGCGAAAGATCGCCCTGAAATTTTGGTACATTAAGCTCAATAAAACAAAAAATTTTGGGGGAAATTTGAACAATCAACTGGCAAGCGACATGTGGGTAAATTGAGGAGCCGAAATTACCGCAATCTCGGCGCCACTTGCCGTATTTACCGTGAAATATCCGCGAAAATCGAACGGTTTTACACTCACATTCTTCTGAAGGCGCGGCGTTTCGTCGATCAGCGTGTAGGAGGCTTTGCGCAGACTCCGGAAGTGCTGGTAGCCCTCCAGCATGCGGTTCAGCAGCTTCATGTCCGCTTCGCGTGGCTGCGCGAACGCCGTTCGGGCGGCCGCTTGAGTCAGTTGTTGGAGATTCTGAAAAAATTGAAATTTTTTATATGAAATTTTTTGAGTAAAAATAAGAAAAAAAAATATGGCCATATAAAATATCAGCAGTAAAAAAAAGTTTAATCAAGATTTTTATGATTTTTTTGAGTAAAAAAAATTTTTTCTTAAATTTATCCTTAGGGCATCCTATACTAATCTCCTTCAAATTTGCTATATATAATCTATATGACCTCTATATTTATCCCTGAAAATATTAGCTCTCCCTTTCTTCCCGCAGCCGAGATATTCAACGATATTTTTCGGAGAGAGCACGCAAAATGAGGAGAGTCGGTCAGAGAAAGGTCAGAGAAAAATTTTGTTTTGGGCATATCTCCGGCAATTTCGATGGGAAAAAATTATTTTTTGAGAAGATAGGTTTCTTCTATGTTATGAATTATGATTTTTTTAATTTGAGATCAAAAAATATTTTTTTTTTTTATTTTTTTTCAAAAAAAATCTAATTTTTTCGAGAAATATTGAGCTGAAAATCTTGGATATAATTTGAAAAATCTTGTTCTAGATTTTTTCCAAGCCTAAACTCCCTTTTTCCGCCATAAAACCACATTATTTTCCAATTTTAGCTCAAAAATTATATTATCCATGTCATTTTGAACCCAAAATACAGTCAGTTCCCTTTTAAAATCACCGCTTACCACCCAATTTCCTCTAAATCACCCTTTCCAACGCCGACAACAAACTACACTACCGAAAACTTGCTGAAGTTCACTAAATATTATTGCGTAATCGTCGGTTGTCAATAGGAATGATGTAAAGGGAAGGGAGTTCATTGTAGTCTGACATCAACTAGAGGGGTGTTTGGGTCGCTAGGGCAACATAGAACAGTATTATGGCCATTAGTGAGAGGAATGTTTGGAAGTAAATTTTTGCAAATACCTAATGGGCAACCAAGGTAAATTTTGATAGTAAAGTTGATTATTTTGGGGGGAAAATTTTTTGCTATAGAATTGAGATAACTTTACAGTAATTTTCAGAGATTTATACAGTAAGATTTGCTTAAAAATCGATGAAATTTAATGAAAAATCATCAATTTTGGGGTAAAATATGATAGAATTTTAGGAAAAAGCTAAAATCTCGTCAAAAAAATCTATTTTGATGACTGTAAAGCTATCAAAAATTACTGTAACCCCTCTAGAACAAATCTCCAATCCACTTACCACATTGGCGAAGCTGTTCATGACGTACGGGACCGGGCTTTGCTCCACATTCAGCCCCTGTCCCAGCTGCAAAATTGTGGCCTGCTGGTCGGTGTTCGCCACCCCATACCCGCCGCTCTCCTGATTGTACTGCTGATACAGCGCATTCGCCAGCCCGGTGACACTGTTGGTGGGCTGGTAGGCCAGCGAGTACTTGTTGCCGTCCGTGGAAGTGGGCGTCGAAGCGAAGCTCAGCGAGCCGTTCGTGATGGACGACGTGGTGGGCGAGTTGTCGATGACCGTCTGCTGTGGGGTGGGCTGGGAGGCGGTGGAGTCGCTGAACGACTCTTTCGGGCGCTTCTGCGGCTCTCGACGCTTGCCGATTCCGTCGCGCGCGTGTTGCACGGCTGAAGCATGGAGAATATAAAAGGATGACAAGAAATGTTGGCAAATCTTATAAAAATCAGCAAAATACTATCCCACATAGTGTGTAATATCATAATCTTCTATTTTTTCGCTATTTTGCCCGAGGCAAAATTGTCAAATTCTGAGAAATTTCAAAAATTCAAAATATCCGAAAATTGGCCATAAAAAATAAATTTGGCCAAGACCATTCTCTAGCCCACAACAAAGCCTTCTATGTACTATAGTGGCCTCAAAAAATTAACGACTTGGCCTTGACTCCACCCTTTTTCCAAAAAAACCACTTTTTTTGTCCGCCGCACAGTGCAAATTCCCTCTTTTTCGTTTTTCATCCGCACTGTGCGAAGAACTCCAAAATTTGGAGTGTAAAATTTCACTCAGCAAAGTTCAATGATCCTATATTCAAAGGCTTATTCAAAACGTTGATTTTTCCGTCTCAAAAACGACGTTTTTCGAGGCTACGCACAGTGCAGACGCCCCCACTTTCCGAGCGACGTTGGCCAGACGTTTGATGACAAAAATAATGACTGTAAACAGGAATGAGGTCATCATATTTTCAATTCTTCATATTCCTCCTCCTTAATCCGCTGGAAAACCCGCGAGACCAAAGGGAATTTTGTGTTGCGATAAGACCATTAAACCCCAAAAATTTCATATTCCCTCTCTCACACTACAAAACCTGTGGTTTCGAATCGAAAGTCAAGACCCACGGGTGCTCCAAAAATAAGTGAGAAACAATTGAACACGGTGTGAAATTACCTGAAGTTTGCATTCCCTTGTTGAGGCACTTTTGGAAGCGGCATGAACGGCACATGTTGCGTGCATCTGAAAAGACCCGTGATTAGTCGACGCGAGTGCTATAGAGCAATAAAAAAAACCCCGCTCGTTGAGGTATGTTTTGTGTGCCTCGAGGGAAAAGAAATTTTATTTGGCAAAATCTTGGCCAAAATGTTCTCGGAATTGTATTTTAATACAAAGGGCACAATATATACGGGAAAATTAGTCTTTATGCCGTATAATTAGGGGTTTTGTTGTAAAAATGTAGTGCTGGTTGAAGCATGACTTACTTTTTTCGATTTCACACATGTTATTGTGCTTGCAGGTGTACTCCAGACGAAGCGAAACGGTCCGACGGAAGAATGCGGCGCCTAAAATACAAGTTAAATTAGAGCTCATACATGACTAGCTGATCAAATTTTTTCAATAGATTTTGCTTTTACAGCCTCTTAAAATATATCAAAGACATGATATATTCATGTTTTTGCAGGTGCAGCAAAGTATTATCATTTTATGAAAAAAATAAAAAATAGGCCTCATTAGGCCTAGTGTAATATAAAAAGCTCTATAAAAAATTTTCCACCCAACAAAATGCCCCCAATTTTTCGGCAGCTCCAAAACAAACCTACAGGCTCGACAAGTGTATTGTCCAAAGTGTAGACCATCGCTCTCGTCGCCACAAACAACGCAAAAATGTCGAACACCATTCACATCCACCCCACCATTGCCGGGCAGCAGATCCGCTTCCATGTCTTCGTCGTCGTGTGCGTTGATGATGTTGCTCGACATGTTTCGCGGGGATCTGGCGCTATACGGATGATATCTGGGTTGCGGACTTGAGGTGCTCGGTGTTGGCAACGTTAACGATGCAGGTTGCAACGAGGTGTAGGCTAGAGGAGTAGAGAGAGGCGGTTGGGTTGGGTCTGAAGGGACAGCGGCGTCAATAAGATTAATAGAGCCGGGAGAGTTGCCAACTCGTTGGACGTAGTTCAACAAGACCCGTAAATGCTCGAATTCGCTCATCGCTAGCGTCTAATATACAGACAGAAAATCTTTCGTTTCTTTTAGGGAATAGCTTTTCTTTTAGGCAAATTCTTAATGTAAACCGAAGAATAGATAGAGAAATGAGTTTGTAGAGGACTTGCTGACGATCTCAAGTCCAAATCGAAAGAATTTAGTAGTGAAAATTGGTAATAGTATCAGATAAACAACAACATGTCTTGTTAGCAGACGCCTTGGACCAAAACCGACTCTCTCGCCGGCCGCCTCTAATAAAAGGCGCCCCCAAAGGCTGTAGTTTGTTTTGAACGCGAATGGTCGTAATATGGAAGTCAAAAGCACAACGAAACTTGCGGGCTCCGCCTCCCCCTCCCCTCACACAAACTCCAGCCCAAGGCCCTCTGCTTTGTGGAGAGCGCCTCGGAGCACAAAATAGATTGCGGCCGAGACGGGCATCCGCAACAAGAAATTCATTGTGTTTTCGGGCTCGGAATGGGGCTTCTGTGGGGTGATGTGGGAAAAATGGGGGAATGCATTCAAAAAAGGGTACTTTAGAGGAAGAAAGGCGAGCAAAACAGACTTCAAATTTCAAAAACACTCCAATATCCATGTGACAATAAAAGAAATGAGACGATTTTTTTAGGCTACAGTAATTTTTTTTGGTGACAAGTTTTTGCATAGTGCAATAAAATTTTGCTATTTTTTTGTTGCACGGTGCAGAATTTTTTTAAATTTTTTTTCTCACGGTGCAATAAAATATTTTATAGCTTTTTGCACGGTGCAGAATTTTTATTTTTTTTTGTCTCACAGTGCAGAAAATTTCAAATATTTTTTTGCACAGTGCAAAAAATTTCTGATATTTTTTTTGCACAGTGCAGTAAAATTTTTGTTTGTTGCACGGTGCAGAATTAATAAAAAAACATTTTTTTTGCACTGTGCAATAATTTTTTTTTGTGATTTTCTGCACGGTGCCGAATTTTTATGTTTTTTTGTCGCACTGTGCAATAAAAAAAAAAATTTTTTGGACAGTGCAGTAAATTTTTTTCAGTCTCTACGACATTTTTTATCTCAAATTTCCATTGAAAACCGCAACCTTTGAATTTTGTATTCTGTAAACTAGCATTAAAAAATATCAAAAAAAAAATGATTATAGTCTAACATATCAAAATCTAGCTTGTTGTGTAAATTAAATTCGAGATTAAAGGCATACAAAGAAAGGTTCAAAACAGCACAAAGTCTACTCATACTAGAGCACGAAAGCCTCGGAGAATTCAAGATAATATTCGGGAAGCCCGTTTGGACTCTCGCTCTATCTTGTTGTGTAGTTTGGGCTCGGATGAGCACAGCGTTTTATAATTTCTACATCAAATTCCGCAGCGGTTAATTTGACGAAAAGAGTGTTGCACGTGGCAAGGTCAGAGCAATTTCAACAAGATTTATAAAACAAAATTTTAAAAAATAGTTTTTTTTTTATTTCAAAATTTCATTTTTTTGTGGGGTTCCCTTAATTTTACCTTTTGATTTTGCCCAAATTTGGTCTGAATTTACAAGGGAAGTACCCCAAGTGCGACGCTCCGATTTTCTTTAGATTTTACACACATGTCGCACATGAACTAAACATCAATTCCTAAAAGTTTTAGCCCGCGCTTTGCAAGCGCCGCCGAGATATATATATATATAAGAACGATCTTTGCCGCCGTGAGAGTATGCTAACTGCGGAGAGCGGTCAGTGAGAAAAACACTTTTTGGCGATAACTTTGCTAGTTTCGCGCGGAAAAAATTATTTTTTTTGTAGAAACATTAGCCTCTATGGTAGAAATAGAAATTAAACTTTTTGTGCGAAAATTCGGCAAAAAGTGTCAAATTTTCGCCGACTTTCGATCTAAAAATCTCGGTCGTTTCTGAAAAGCGCGAGCTAGGATTCTGGTATATATTTTAAAATAAAATTTTTTTGTGGGTGAAACAACAAAACAAAAGTTCTTCTCGAGTAGGAAATCCCGGACACACAGTTGACCCAACCAACTAGACCAACTGGGTCAACTGTTTCCCTGGTGAGGAAAAATTCCCTCCAGAAAACAGACTGAGGCTAAATTTTCAAAAACCAAAAGCTATATTAATTCCTTCACTCTTATACGGCCAAAAAGTGTTTTTCTCTCTGACCGCTCTCCGCGTTTCGCGTACTCTCTCGGCCCTCAAAGATTGTTGAATATCTCGACTCTCCCTGCTGCGCGAAAGCTAAAAGTTTTAGGATTTGATGTGTGGTCTAGTAGTACTACGTATGGTAAATTTTAAAAAAATCGACTGGTTGATTTTCGAGAAATTAAGATTTTTATTTGAGTGTTTTCCCATGGATAATACCAATTTTCTTTCAAGATATTTACGCTCCAGCCCAAAGCAGCTTGAGAGTTCAGCTGTCCAGAAACGCAATTTAGGTCATTCGCCGCACGCATTTGCTCTGTAACCTAGCAACTTTTCGCTTTTGAGTCTGAACACAAGTCAAAATACAGTAGGCTGACAAAGAAGGTCATGGTCACCAAATGAGGTCATTCGGCCTATCCCTTCTAATCAGTTGAGTGCAGCACACTTATTGGAATTTGAAAAACACAATCAACATTCCGTGAGTGATGATTTTGGTACTGTAGTCAAAGCGGATGACAAATTGTGGTCTACTTCGTACTTTGATGTCCAATCAAGGGCTAAATTTAATAGTCATCGGAATGAGTGATTCCTACAATCCTACAAAATAGAAAGAAGGCATAGTCAAGAGGGGTATTAGTAATTTTCGTATTAGTAAAGACTTTCGGAAAGTGCATGGACACGTGTTTTTTTACGTGCAGTGAATTTTGGACTATTTCCCATTCTTGTCGCCAACGCACAGTGCATTTTTTTTTCTTTTGCACAGTGCAAACTTCAAAAAAAATTTATTTTTGCAATGTGCAAATTCCCCGTGTCGACGCGATATTTCAATGCACAGTGCGGAGACCAAAAAAAGGTGAAATGCACAGTGCAAAATGGAAGTTCACATAGGGCCTATGGCAAATGTGTGTGTGAGGAATTTAAATAAAATTTTTACGTCGCACTTCAAACACCCTTTGTTATCAGTCTGTCGGGAAAATAACGGCGGTTGGTCGGGTCTTAGAATCGCTAATCATAGCTGTACGCCCTAGTTGGAAATTTAAATGCACCTTCTTTTCGCAAAGCATTTCGCTGCGACGACCCACCGTTATTTTCCCGACAGACTGAGATAAGAGAAAGCCTTCAAGAAGTTTTCAATTTCGACTTTTTTTAAGTGACCTTGATCTCGCGAAAGATTTTCAACACAAAAAATGGCATTGAACTGACGTAAAAAAAGACCGATTTGAGATTTTAAAAGTGATTAGCGGATATTTGGGGTTGTTGAAAAGGTTAGGCTAAAAATTTCTGAATTACTTTGCTCGTTATTTTTAACACGTTTGGAGAGCGCGGAAAACTTTTCTGAAATTGCTGGGCCGCACCGTGTAAACACCCCCACTTCGCACCGTGCACTTGAAATTATGCACCGCAGCCGACGAAAGCCATTTTCAACGGAGTCGTTGCGACGTTTCTGAAGCGATTACGCGCGATGAGTGAAAATGCACAGTGCAAAATGTTCGATAAACCCGCACCGTGCGTGGCGACAAAAAATGCACTGCACAAAAATGCACTGTGCGCCGCGACAAAAAAATGCACTGTGCACAGCGACAAAAACTTCACTGTCCGGTGCGACAAACAGTGCACTGTGCGCTGCGACAAAAAATGCACTGTGCGACGCGACAAAAAATGCACTGTGCGCAGCGACAAAAAATGCACCGTGCGCTGCAATATCAGTTTGTCGGGAAAATAACGGCGGATCGTCGCGCCTTGGAATCGCCCATCATCGCTTTGCGACTGAAAGCCGAGGCTGGGGATTTGGTGCGCAATAGCGGCGAGGCGAGACATTTTGCTGCGACAATAAGCCGTTATTTTTCCGACAGAGTGATAAAAAAGGCACTGTACGATGCGACAAAAAATGCGCTGTGCGCCGTCATAAAAAATGCACCGTGCGCCGCGATAAAAAGTCCACGTCCTTTGGAAAAATCGTATTACATACATACATCTACCATAACCAGCCACCCCAACCATCACATCCCGCCGCCGCCGTACAATAATAAATCTACAGTCTGATACTTGTTGTTTGTTTTTCCGAGTAGTAAATATGTTTCACAAAGATTGTTTCGCCACACTGTAAATATTTTGGCCGTATGCGGCTTGTAAAGTCGTAAAGATAAAACCTGTTTGGCCATGTGTGGACACAATATTAAGCAGGCACGTTCGTTGTTTGATGTCTAATTGGAGTGTATTTTTGTGGGATTAGGCCCATGGAGCGAGAAATATTCGGGGATCTGTGTTTGCGGAGGTCCATAGAGCGGAGATATCATCGGCGCAGCACTCGGGCCGGGCCGGAGAAATGCAGGGCCAGGCCCGGTCCTCCAATATGTATATTCTGGTGTAAAAAGTGATAAAAGCAAGTAAAAAACTCAACAAATTTTTTTTCAAAGTTATAAAAATGAGTTGCTAAATTGGGTAGCTTATACCAAGTCCCTTCGTTTGAAATTCAAAAAAACATGTCGCTTAGTCGATATGGGCATGAAAATTAGATCACTAGGACAGAAAAAGACGCAGAATTTTTTAGTAATAAAACCCCTTGGCTGCACTTAATCATTTTCGTGTCAGGACCCATGAAAAAAGTTTCTTCTTTGCGACGCCCTATAATGGAAAGTTATTGTTCGTTATTGAGAGGTTTTGCATAAGTCACTGTGTAACTGCAATATCTAGAAAAAACGCATATAAAAATCTCTCGCATTTTTTTCGATTTCCTTCAACTTTTGCTTGTCTACTCTAAACAGACGACAAATCAATCCCTGAAATTTCTAGCTCATGCTTTCCAGGACAAATCGAGATATTCAAAAACCTTTTCGGGCGAGAGAATAGGGTAAATACAGAAGACCGGGAAAGTAGGAGATATT